CAGAATATTTGAAGTCTGTTGGAACAAGGAAAGTGACAAGATTTCTGCTTGTATCACAAACAATACGCTATGCATCTTAGACTTTAGAATGTAAAAAATCTAGAAACTTTCCTCTCTATTTACTGGATTGGAACATACATGTAAGGAAGATGGTTGGCTGCAAGCTCTTAAAAGAACAAGTTAAAATTATGAAATTTTCATTGTATTGGAAGGGGGGAACTGTAACTATAGTGTAGGTTTAGTAATTCATGGATTAGTTATTCCAAGCTGAATTTGGTAGTTGCTAATTAGTCATTGTAAACAAAGGGTCTCTGCTTTGTGAGCTAAGTAACCTTGCAAGAAGAGCAATTTATCTCGTAATATAACAGGACGTTCAAGTTCAGGCGGAGAAGGAATAAAGGTCTCAGGCAAATGAGATTATCAAATTGAAGCTTGGAAAGCCTGAGTTCAGCAGCTGTTAACTTCTTTTTGAAGGGCCTTCCTTGAAATTCAGGTTTGTTTACCAAATAAAGGGATGTTGATAAAGTTTTGGGAAGTAGAGGGGGAGACGGTAAGGGTTTGAGAGAGGGGAGGGGGATTGATGATATGAGGTTTGGGATTTGAAAATCTGGGATTAGGGTTTAAGTATAAAATTTAAGAATTTTATTTTAAATATTATATGTCATAATTATATATTAATAAAAGATATATATTATTATTATATACTGATAAAATAAGTTATATCATTGAGCTGTTAGTGAGAAAATAGACGAGTGGTAAAAAAATTAATGTGTAAAATTAGTGATTAACTTGAATTTTTTTTAAAAAAGTATAGTGAGTAAAATAGGGAAAAAGTAAAATTTAGTTAGTAAATTTATAATTAACCTTTTTGTGAGGTGTATTATAAATTTTATCATTTAACTTTATTAGCATTTTTATTTTAACCATTAAAATTTAAATTTGGCTAGAAGATTGTAATAATTTGGTTTAAAGTTCGATAGTTAACAGTAGCAGATAAAAAAATTAACTTTTAATTTTAACTGAATTTGAGGATATTCAAAAGTTTTCTTACGAGTTTGAATAAAAAAGAGAAACAAAAGAAAAAGAAGAATATAAGTAATCCAATGATATTTTTTTGGATCAATAAAACCACTAAATGACAATAGCAACGATGAAAGAAGAAACAACGACTACCAATCTTTTTAGTGTTTTTTAACATATTAAGTCGTAAAATTGTCCGTCCAGTTCAGTTGATAGAGTAAAAGACTTTTAATCTTGTGGTCGTGGGATCGAGTCTTATGATGAGCAATTCATAATTCGGAGGTCTCCCACAGAAGTTGCACTCAACCTGTTGTTAGGAACAGTCTACAATCCTACCTCCTCCTTACCCCATTACATATGGGAATAAAGGTTAACTAACTTTTAACATATTAAGTCAGTTTGTGTTAAAGACTCAATAATCGAAATGAAAGTTTTTTCTTAACAAAAATGTAAACATACACGTGGCGGAATATTATTTCCTCTCTTTTATTTTCTCTAAAGATCTAAATAAAATGATATCTTATTTGATTTTATTTTAACTTTATTAACATATTTTAAAAATCATGTTTCGAAAGCATTTTAATGTAATTATTTTTTATTTTTATGATTTATGAGTTAAAGAAATCTAAATTCGAATAAGTTTCAATATATTTACCTTTGATTTTAAAGGTTTAGAAAACCGATGAATAATTTTTGTACTACCAATCTTTAATTGACTTATACGAGTCAAGCGTTATATTCTTTCAGATATATTAGAAATTTCAATTATAACATTTTAAATAGCATAAAATAAATTTAGGGTTTAGTAGATTCTTTAAATAACGTTAATTGGTTTAATGAAATAAAATTTATAAGTTTTAATTCAAATCAATGAATTAATAAATCAGATAATAATATAAACTCATCAAACGACCTTAATAATTAACGAGAGTGTTATTATACCTAAAAGTATTGAGTTCGAGTAATTACATATGTAGGATGTATATTTATTATCAATTATTAAAAAAGATTTTAAATATATACTATTATGATCACATTAAATTAAGAAAAAATAAAAGAAAATTCAGAAAGTAGTATTTATATTGAAAATTATTTAAATATCTTATAAAAATAAAATAATATTCTAAATTCTAAAACAAAACATAAACTTTACACGTCACTCCTTTATCCCTCTCTCTCTCTCTAGGTTTTTGGTCTTTGGTCACCAACCTGATTTTCCATATCTATTTACGTGGCAAACCCTGCAATTTGACTTGAGTTTCTGCTATATTTCAGTGTTTCAACTTATCAAGCAACTCCTCCCATAGACATCTATCTTGTTGTTCTAAAATTCTTCTACGTGTTCTTCCAAGAAAAGTTTAGTTTTTTCTCCAATGCGGCTTCTATTGACTCGGCTTTTTGAAGGTTGGTTTAGACACACGATGAGGCCGAAATGAATTGCCTTGGATCCAGGTAACCTGAATTCGGATGCCTGTTTTGTTCTTGTATCATGGTTTAAGCTCAATATTCATCATGATCACATGTGCTTTTAGTTCTATTTCAATAACATTATTCGATTTCCATCATCATATGTTCCCCGTTGCATTCGGATTGGAAAATGGTTGGTTGGTTGGTTTAAAAGTAGGACGGTGAAGGCCTTCCTCTTATCTCTTATTCCGCCATGTGTTTGATGAAATGAAGAGTCCAGATATATGAAAGGTGTATGTATTTAGGCTCTAGATACATCCACCTGTATGTTCTTTGATTGCTCATGCTTCACTTTCATCTTCCCCTGGCCTTATATTATTACTCATTTTCCGATTTTTCGATACTTTTCCGGGTTGCATTCGATCGAATACGAAGGATAAAGTAGTTTCGAGGAGTAGATAGCTTTTGCATAGATTTGTTTAGAGAGTATCGTTAGGCGATGCGATCCGTAATGATTCGAGAACGATGATGCACGCCAGCGTTAATGGCTGTAAGCTTGTTGCAGAGAAGGCAAGTTTGTTGTCACCCTCCGATAACGAGTAGGATCAACCTTGTGAGTTTGTATGTGAAGGTGACAGAGGAGATAATGGAGTCGTTTCATCGGATCGGACGGTAGTTGTATTCCGAGAGAATACAATCATCGAGGAAGATGGATCCGTGTTGTCATTCAATGGTAATCATGAAAACACATCATCCCAATCTGTAGTAGCTAGTAATATCAGTAGCATATCTATTGAGCAAACTTCAGCTTTAGAGGTTAATTCTGAGAGAATTTCATCAATTAGTGATGTTCAAGATGTGAAGAGAGTTGTTTCACGGGGGATGCTGGCAATAAGTCCTGTGAGTCCGATAAAAAAATCGCCGCTTCTTGAGGTGCCACAACAAAAGAAGATAAGAAAAATCGAAATCAAGTATCTGATTGAATTAGGAAACATACCCCTTTGGGGATTTACATCCATTTGTGGTAACTGGTAGGAGACCGGAAATGGAAGATGATGTCGCTATAAGTTCCTAGTCGAATGCTGAAAGCCGAGGACATAAAATATGGAACGAATCACGGCCTTAGCGATCTAACGGCTCATTTCTATGGTGTGTACATGGACATGGAGGGTGTCAGGTAAGTGTCATCGCCTTCTATTCTTATTTATCTTGGTTTCTATATACATTATCTATATATGCTGCAATGATATGTATGTCAGAAATACGACTCTGATGGCTATATCGGTACTAATATCTGTTTTCCAAAGCCGGTTTATCTAAACGAGATCATTTCGATGCACAGGTTGCAAACTATTGCGTGAGCGTATGCATTTAGCTTTAGCTGCAGGAGGGAAGGTCATACAATGGAATGGATCTCGTGTTTCCGGTGTTCTGGCGATGTCGAGGTCCATTGGTGACGGATACTTGAAACCATGGATAATTCCGGATTCAGAAGTGACGTTCGTTCCTCCAGCAAAAGAAGACGAGTGTCTAATCCTAGCGAGTGATGGCTTATGGGATGTCATAAGCAACAAAAAAGCTTGCGAAGTTGCTCGAAAATGGATCCTTCTCTGGCATAAAAAAGCACGGTGATAAATTATCAGCAGAGAGGGGCAACGGGGTCGACCTGACCCCTCAGTCCGCATCGCAGTACCTCTCGAAGCTTGCTCTTAGTAAAGGAAGCAAGGACAATATCACAGTCATTGTCTTGGACCTCAAAGCACAAAGAAAATTCAAGAAGAAAACTTGATAACAAGGCTTCTTTTTACACTGAATCATGCAATTAACTTGTTAGTGAACCGAGCCGAGTATCGATTTTCAGAACTCGTTCACTACCGGTTTGGTCAAAAGTTTGGCCTCGTGCGAAGATATTGTCATAAATTCGAATAGGAAAGGAAAATAGAAAACACGAAACTCAACAAGACTCTTTCAAATTTAGCTCCGATTCTCTATTATTCGAATGGTTTAACGGGATTACAAGAATCTACCATACTGATTCTCTATTATTATTGAATGGTTTGACGTGATTACAAGAATCTACTGTATTATAGCTAAGGCATAGCATTATCTTTTAATTATATAATATTATTATTTTTGAATGATTAATTATATAATATTAACACAGCAATTAAGTACATCTCACCACTGCAATTCAATTCAAAAAAATCGATCCATTCAAGTTGATTTAGAAAAAAAATCAGATATAATTTGGATAATAAAATATAACTTATCAATTCAACTAACTCAAAATACTAAGACCAAACTTAATAAAAAGAAGTTAAATTTTTGGAAGAATTTGATCTTTAATTTTTTTTAAGATAAAAGTAAAAATAGAAAACAACTTAATTGAATCCATGAATACATCTACACATAATGTATTAGATATCCTCTGAAGAATCGGGAGGAAATTAAAAGAACAAACATGAAAATGAATTTAATATTGTTTTGAGCTCATGTTACGGATTACTTTATGCAAGAGAAATTAAGACATACATACATATATACATACGTACATGTATATCTTCTCATAATTCCTTATAACTTCAACCTAGTATGCATATTCTAAATGTGAACAATGTTGATGGAGTATTCGGACAGCAACTGCGGCACACATGATATTATCGGTCCGTATGTCTACAAAACAATTACAACATATGTTAGAAGCTACACCTAAAATATGACAGTGAAATTGTAGTCAGGGATGAGCATCCGATTCGATCTGATTCAAAGCACAAAGTGTTTGAACTTTTCTAACCTGGTTGTTTTCATGAACCTGAGACAGTGGAACTGCAAGCAGATTCAAATTTTCCGGCACAATGAATTTCCGACTTTCCGGCAACCGAACAAGGAAGAGTTTGGTGCATTCCTGCAAAAATGAGAAACACAAAAACATTGTAGCCGGGGCTGTATGAATGTACCAAGTAGGCAAATTACCTTGGGCTTTGTCACGGTGGTCGGCAAGTATGGACACAAGAGTGTTTCGAAATCGTGCCGCCACCACATGCCGAGACACTCTCCAACCTAAATATTTACAAACTTGATTACGTGTTAAAATCGAACTTGATTCATAGTCTGTATAAAAGATCTCGATGTGAATAAGAGGAAAACTTATTTACCTCCCATTTCTCTTCATCATCATCTTCACTAGCGGAGAGCTTCCTCGAAAGCTTACGTCTCAACCCATCAATATCTAAACATTCAATTTTATCTTAAATTAAGAGAATAATTTCAATATTTATTATTACAAATAAAGAAAATTTATGTGAAAAAACCTAAATAAAAAAATCCCACATATATATTTTTATCGGTAATAATAAAAAATACGAGAGTCTTCGTATCCATCATAAATATTTCTTTTTCTCTTAATTTATTTCTTCGTTAAATAGATAATATCGTAAATTTTTAAGTTTGAATTATACGAAATTCGAATCTCGGCCCAAAAACTTACTCATCTAATCCAGTTTTGAAAGATTTTTCTTAATAAAAATGATGAATTTACCTGATTCGCCTGACCTCAAACGACCACCAGGAAGGTTAAAGATGGAGTTTTTAGATTGGAGGAGCAGCAAATGAGGATGTTTCAACAACTCAACCTGATTAAACGACGTTGCTTAAACCACTTGTAATAACAATCCTACTCAAACTCAAAATTCGATTTAATTAATATGAATTTAAATCTAATCTAATTAATTTGATCATAAAAAGTTAATAATTGAACTATTAAAATAATTTGAATTTGAAATAATTTAAATTTAAAATGACCCAAATAATAAACCCGAATAACAAAACACAAAAATAACTCGACATGAAAATTTGACTGCTAAAGACTGATGACCCGAACCCGAAACACTCCGAACTAGAAATCAAAACTGACCCGAACTCGAAATCAAAATTGAATTGAATCGAACTCCTCCATCTAAATATATTCATAACTTAAACCAATTTAAATTAAACCAAAAATCTCAGAATCAAATCAACAATAAGAAAACAAGAATGTGAGAGGTGGAAGCTAACCAGAAGAACAGCTTCCACAGATGTCCTCAGTCCATGAGCAGCATAACTGAGAAAAAAACCCAAATTAGAACCGTTAAATCCAAACGAATACCAAATCGAAAAGACAAAAGATGTGAACAAATACTTGGATTTCATCCTCTTAACACGATCCGACGGCGTTTCATCCTTGGAAACAATGGCTTCTTTGGATCCAAAATAGTAGCAGCTTATAGGGTAAATATCCACCTCTTTTCTCCTATCATCGTTGCTATTGTGATCATCTGTCATCGTAGGTTAAACCAAGTGAAGAAGAGACGGAGGAAGACGAAGGGTATTTGGAATTGTTTGTTTTTATAAAGAGGGAGTGAACAGTGGATGAAGAAGAGAAGGGAAGTTAGTGGAATTGTGTTGAAAAGACCGGACGATGTTTATGGTTTTTTAACTGTTTGTTTGTTTGCATGTTGGGTAATGAAAGTAGTTGTTTGAAGCTTTGAACGTGGCGTTACAAGGACACCTGGTTTCATACAAGACGAGGATTGTTGTCGGTACGGCAAAAGATAACAAAATCTAAACAGAAGATGACATCAAATATTATTATATGATAATTAAACAATTTTTAATCAATATCCTTTTCAAAATTATAAAATTAACATAATTTTATAATATTTTGACATTTAATTACAACTTAACAATAACTGAGAAGATATCTCTAATTTTAGCCTTAAATGTTTGTTGACCAAATAATTTTTTTATAGAGAAATTTTATCTTAATAAAATATTGAGAGTTAAAATATTTAAAATAATAATAAAAATTAAAATGATTATTTAATTAAATATTAAAAATATTTTTATTGAATTAAAGAGGAGAGTTCAAATTACATCGACTCGAAGATAATGAGGATCTTGAACATCCCCCGTAACTAAATCTAAAAAGCCGTTGGTGCATAATCAAATAAAATAATACCAATCAAGTTTCAAAGTCCAAATTTAGCTAGACCATCTTGAACACGTGTCATCATCATTGTCATCGTAAGTGATGAATTATCTGAACTAAAGATATCTTTTAATATTATATCTAAATTTATATAATATTAAATATAAGTGAATTGATTATTAAATTGAATACAATCTTCCAATCGAAGAAGGTTGAAGAATCAAACGCGTCTGCTTGGGGTTTTCCCTTTGTTTATACGACAAATGGGTAGTTAATAATGGATATGGTTTAGCCTTTGCTTATAACAAGAAATGGCTCTTTCTTTGAAGTCACACATAATGTTAGCCGCCGTCGATGGATAATGGCCGATTTTATTTGAATTCATGAACCCTATCTATCTTGAGTTTGATCACATAAGAGTTTTTCGAAGAAAAAAAATGAGTTTGAAGAATGACCATTATAGTATCTGATGGGATCAGTAGGTTGATTAGCCGTATACCGGTGATTATATCGAGAAGAAAAAACAAGGTTTCTTCTTTTAGTTCTTGATAGAGATGCACATAGCCAGATTTAAATCCGATCCGGATCGGATAAAAACCGATCCGATTTTTTTACTAAACCAAAAAATCGATTTATAAAAAAACGATTTGGATCATAACCAATTTGGAGGGCCGGATGATATAACCGGTATAACCGATTTCGGTTTGAAAAAAAACCGATTTTTAATCCGGTAAAAAATCCGATCATCCAATTTTTTAAACCCCAAACCGGATTTTTAAACCCCAGACCGGATTTTTTTCCGGATAAAAAACCGATTTTTTATCCGATTGTTTTCAAACCGATTTTTAATCCGATAAAAAATCTGGTAGTCCAATTTTTTCTCAAACCGATTATACTATCCGGTTTTAAAATATCCGATCCGGTTTAAAAAAAACCAGTTTTTCCCAAATCCGATTTCGAATATTTTTTTACACAAAATCAGATATTCGGATTTTTTATGCACCTCTAGTTCTTGATTTGCTCCTTTGCCAGCTACCTGCTGCTTCCATAGCTAGTTTGGATCATGATAATAGTTTTTCTTCTATTTTAAACCGAAACTACCCGGAATCAAAGTGTTTCCGTAACAAGCTCATACACGAGTTCAAAGGAATGCTTTGGCTGCAATGGAGAAACAGATTTGAACTTTGTCCAATCTGCCGAGCACCATTGTAAAGACAACAGATACCTGAGAAACGTTCTGTTCACAGAGATTATACTTTCACCATTGATGAAACCACTAAATCTGAGGCTATATTTGTTTGTAATTTGATGAGTTTCATTAATGAAATAAAACTTGTTTCATCGGCTTCTCGAATTGAGAATTGATAATAAATAATCGAGTCATGAAATAAAGTTCATAATTTAAACTGACATTCGAACCTCAAATTTGACGATTACTACGAGCATTTGAGATGATAAAATGACAAAATTGAATGAACTGACCGTAAAACTGACATGGGAAAACCAAATACCGGCGACATTGTCATCCTCCAAAATCAAAACTCAAAGAGCTTCATTAAAGCTTGATTTTTAGTCTTTCGCTACTAGGCGAACATATTTACTGTCAACTGAATATCTTGCACTTGACGAAATCTGCAGTGCAACAGAAAAAGATTGTGGCAAGATGAATAAATCAAAACATGGATGAATTACTGAAGAAGAAGCCTTCCTCACCTTGTGCTGTAACATTTCACTTAGTTGGGACTTATCATCATCCACATCCAATTCCTGGAGAGCCTTTAGAACCTGTTTTTGCAGCTTCCCATCTTCAAAACTCCATTGGGACTCTGCATCAAAAGGAAAGAATAAGTGTATATTTATTAACCAATAACCATGAAGACTTTGTGCCAATGACTGTAAGCCAGCATTGAGAAAATCGGATGAGATAGGATGAAAGGAGACACACGGATTTCAAGGCTTCTTTAATCAATTTCTTCCACTTTATCTTCTTTTTCGTATCTTCTTTTGTCGAGGCAGATTCCACTATATCTTCTTTTACGGCATTATGATTGGATTTCTTTGCCTTTTCGTCCTCAACCTGAGTGATTTCTCCATTGCCTGTTTCATCGGAGCTATTGTCTAGCTTTCTCTTTTTATTTGATGATATGTAACCGTTTGCTGCTTCGGAGTTGATTTGGGGTTGGCCATCTTTGAACTGATCCTGTGATTCGTCCTCTCCAACAGATTTATTTTCTGGCAACTCACCATTCTCTTTGTTTTCAGCTGAATCCTTAGTATCCGGAGCAGATTCTTCTGTCTGTTTAGGTTGCTGCTTAGCATGGAACGCTCTAGCCTTTGCTCTGTGCTTCTTTCCGTCAGCATGAAGAAGCAAGGTCTGCTGACTAGTAGCCTTGGTATTGCAAAGACTGCAAATACATAGATAAACAAGAGAATCTCCTCAGATTACAACAAAAAATGATAAACAACGAACAGTCTATATCAATACACAGCATTTGACATGAGTGAATTTTACACCATGCTAGCTCAGACCAAAGATGAAGAAGCTGAAAATAAACTGACTAAACAGATTAAAAGTTCGATATCTAGGAATACCACCTATTACTAGAAAGCTCTCCGATGAAGGATCTTGAACCTTTGATTCGTTGGGTGACCAGAAAGGTCAATGGACCGGTAGCAAAACACCTATCCTGTACTTTTAGGACACAGCTTATTCCCCAAATAATTTGGGGTAATTTGCATTCTACATCAGTGATTAGTTATGTTAAAACGTTCAGATTCTTTAGCATTAGCCCAAGAAATTCACAGTTAAAGGACCAAAACATTAAAAAAGAACAAAACAGACCCATGTCAACCGCAAAGACATGTTATTCAAGCTCCAAAGTATGAACTGCTAGCTATTCAGGTATCTACCAGCTTCAAACTAGGCACATTGCCTGTTCTATATCCAGGATTACCACCTATTACTAGAAAGCTCCATATGAAGGATCTTGAACCTTTGATCCAATGGGTGACCGAAAAGGTCAATGGATGGGTAACAAAACACCTATCCCTTGCTATTAGGACGCAGCTTGTAACCATCCCAAATAATTTGGGGTAATTTACTTTCTACATCAGGAAATCTGTTATGTTAAAACGATCAGATTCTTTAGCATTGGCTGAAGAAATTCACAGTTAAAGGACCAAAACATTAACAGATAACAAGACAACCCAATGTCAACCGCAAAGATGTGTTATTCAAGCTCCGAAGTCTGAACTGCTAGCTATTCAGGAATCTACCAGATTCAAATAGGCACAATGCCTGTTTAATATCCAGGAATACCATCGATTACTATAAAGCTAACTATGAAGGATTGTGAACCTTTGATCCGATGGGTGACAGAAAAGGGCAATGGACTGGTAGCAAAACACCAATCTAGTGCTAGTAAGACGCAGCTTATACATCCCAAACAATGCATTCATAAAATTAAACAAAGGAAAATCACCAATAACAGTCACACAACACAGCTCGGAATCAATCCTATATTAGATCAGACAATATAAACATTGATATCGATATCAATAATCAAAATTAAAAAAAAATTACCTGCAAAACCATGGAGGACGTTGAGACAGCCCCACATTGATATCAACATCAGGTTTCTCCTTTGTTTGCTTGTTGGGTTTTGCATTCGAACCATTTGGTGTTTGCCCTTGTCCCTTTGGACCATATTTTTCCTAAACATGTAACAAACAAACAGTCTGTCAGACTACTTGTCAGAAATTAGTAAACAATAATAGAGGATTACGAAACTTACAGCCTCAGTTATGCACTGTGTATGGCTTTGAACATTTTGTTGCCCAAAAATAACTCCACAATCAATGCACGAAAACTGAAGAAATCAACCAAAAACAGGAAACGGGTTAGTGGAAAATCCGATATTAACCAAAGAAAAAATGCTCAAAAACAGAAATTGAGAAGAGAAACCGAGACCTTGGAAGCAGAGCAAATCCTGAAGTGATTTGCCAACTTGGGTTTCTTCAAGTTCTCGCCGCACTCCTCGCATTGAAACCAGACCATCTTTTGTTGTTGTCTTTTGTCCTTGTTTATTTAAGTTATGTTTTGTTCCGGAAAATTAAGGGAAAATAAGCAGAACGGAGAAGAGGGGACTTTAGTTTAGGGTTTAGCATGTTGAATCGAGGGTTTTTGTTCTTTGATTTCATCGTTTCTGGAATATTCCAGATGATTTGGGGGTAAAACGCAGCGAACGATACGCTGAGACTAATTGTAAAATGGGCTTTACAGTTTACATCAGTCATCTCATCAGGAGATGATAATCAATTCAAAATGTGAATCCATATTAAATTAAAGAAAATTATTTATGTAAAAATGTTTTTTTTAATTTATTGTGATATGGGTGACTGGATGGCACACGTTAAGTTTCTCTCTTGGTGCACATTAGCGGGTGTGACAGTGCTGTTTTTTCCTTTCTTTTCTTTATTCTTTTCTGCGTTTTTGCTTTGGATCTAGTTAATTGTCTTGTATAGTGTTTTGGGCTATGTCTGGTGGTGCTTCTACGGACTGGAGGAATTTTTTTGCGGTGTTCGATGCACATGAATTGGATTTCTGAGGGTTCAATTCTGGTCAAACCACTTCGAGTTGTGTTTGAGGAAGGTATCTTGGAGTGGAAGTATGCTTTGGTTTGGCAATTTGTTGGGGTTGCGCCGAATTTTTGGTTCTCTTCAAAAGATAATTGAGCTTATGCGGGGTAAATTTTATCCGGTGAAGGTTAGTCTTGCGGGTTCCAATTTGTTTGTTTTTCATTTGTTAATTTGACTGCCCGTGACTGGGTTTTAGAGAATGGTCCTTGACATGTATAGCGTAAGCCTATTTTTCTAAGGAAGTGGGAGCCAAATCTTAAGGAATTGAATTTTGATTTGATTCGTATGCTTGTTTGGATTCAGGTTTTTTATTGTTCCCTTTGAGTTGTTCTCGAAAAAATGCCCTAGTTATATAGCTAGTGCTTTGGGGACGCCTTTGCACATGGATACTATAACTACTTCTAAGGAGCATCTTGAGATAGTTGTTGGTGATAAAATTGCTGAGCATGTTGATGTTCAATTGAGTGATGGCTCTGTTGTTCGGGTAAGAGTATATGTTCCTTGGATGCCTTATTGTTTAGCTTGTGGTCGTTTTGGACATGTTGATAAATATTGCCCAACTACTAAGAAAGTTGAGAAAGTGTGGAGAGTCAAGGAAAATGCAGCTGGAGTTGGGGCTTCTGATTCAGGTTCTGCTGTTGTTCAAGGTAGGGACCTTGATGTTCAGGATGCTGCTGAAGGTACTGAGGGTGATTCTATTCTTGTTGTAAAGCCTGTTATTTTAGAGGATCTTGTTTAGAGTCCTGCTGTTGAATGTTCTTTAAGGGTTACTAGCACTGAAGATGGTGGGGTTGTTGTTCTGATTGATCAGGTTGGTGGGAGTAAGGACAGAGTACATGCTCGGCAGTTTTCTCAGCCTAGGCGAGGGTGTGGGAGGCCTACTAAGGATGATGGGAAGGGTGTTGTTGTTGGTTCTAAAAATAAGTTTGAGGCCTTGAATTCTATTGATTCTGAGAATGTGCTGGTTGAGAATTCTGTTAGGAAGCCTCGTGGTGCTTCTCTTGGGGTAGCAAAGCTCATGCAAGATTTAAAAATGAAAAAGAATGATAGCTTGGACAAGATTAAGTGTGTTGATGATGGCATCGGTGCTACTAGTGGAACATCTTCTTCTTCTTTAGTTTTGTTTTTGAAACGTTATGGGATGAATAACCCTCTAAAGTATGATCATATTTTGCGTCGTACTCTGAAAAATCAGGTTGATGTGCTTTGCCTTTTGGAGACTAGAGTAAAGGAGGAGAAGTCTGTTGGTATTTTGCAGGGGAAGTTTGCTGATTGGGATTACTGTTGCAATTATGATTCTGCTCCTAATGGTAGAATTTGAATTCTTTGGAGAAATGGTATGGGATTTTCTGTTTGTCATGCGATTGATCAATCTATCACTATTTGTGGTTCTGTTAATGGTATTGATCTGGCTGTTACTGCTGTTTATGGTTCAAATGAGGGAATTGCAAGGAGACGGCTTTGGGAGCATCTTAAGCTCTTGGAGGGTCTTGTGGGGCAGTTGCCTTGGGCTGTTGGTGGTAATTATAATGTGATTTAAATCCTGATGAAAATTTTGATGTTGTTGATTTAAATGCTGATATTTGAAATTTTTGGTCTTGTGTTGAGGAGTGTAGTTGTAATACCCCAAATTTTGACTAGTGATTAAAATGTATGTTTTGAAAGTTTGAGTGCTAAAGCATAAACTTTGTAAAAAGTTTAGGGATTAAAAATGTAATTCTAAAAAATATATATTTTAGCCCGTAAATGAAATTTTGCCTAAAATAAGGATTTTCGTGGGGAATCAGATTTTCAGTACGTGATTTATGTTAAAAACTATAAAGAGATAAAGTTTGGTATTCAAATCAGATAATCGAATTGAGTCGGAATTTCACAAAAAATTGGAGGATGTTAGAAAATGGTTCGAAATAATATTTACATATTTTATATTAGAGAAATTTAGCTCAAATCAGCATAATTTTTCAGATTTGGTTTAACAGTGGAATTTTAGTGGCTAAAATGTAATTTTCAAAAATTACATGGCCAAAGTGAAAAGTCAAAGTCAAGTTGAGATATTTTTGAATAAGGAATATTTTATTTGGGAAAATGATATATGGTAATTTTTAGGATTCATTAATGACTAAAATGGAATTTTTTAAAAGTTGAATTAAAAATTCAATTAAATTAGTTTTAAGCAAAGTGTAATAGCTTTTAAATACTATAATAATTGAGAAAAAATCAACATCTGCAGCTCCTATCTTTTTCTTGGCTGAAACTCCTCTTGCTCAAGGTAAGAAAACTCTGTTTCAATTTCTAAAGCTATTTGAATGATTTATGGAATATGTTGTGAAATAGAGAATTATTCTACATGAAATTCTCTATCATTTGACATAAATATTGTATGGTGAAGATGTTTGTGTGATGAGATTTGATGATTAGGATTATGAAGGGTTTGGTGATTTTAAAGAGTTTATGAAGAATTTTTTATGTTTTTAAGGTTGGAGATTAATTCTAAAGTATGTATGATGATTTAAATTATTTATACATGCTTATATTAGGTTTGGTCACTTTACGGTTTATGGAGAATTGATGGATTTTGATTCAATTTGAGGTCGTAGTGATTGGAAATGCATGAATTTGATCATGAGAGATTGAATTGATGCTTGAGATTGAACAAAAAGTCCACCTATTGTGACATGATGTACTCGGCCATAGGGAATAAATTAAGGGAAAATGTTGAAAAAAAATTCCTATGGTCTGGAATGAATATTAGAAGTGTTCTATGTGATTTGGAGGTTGATTTGAATCAACTTGGAAGCTTTAGTTAGAAAAAAGGCTAATGTACAAGTTTTGAGAAGTTTGTGACTTTATTGTGAAAGTGTACAATTTAAGGGACTCAGTATTGATTTATAAGGATAATATGCTGGAGTTTATAAGTTAGGAAAGTTGTTGGGAACTAAATTTCAAGTCTGAAAATTGTAGTGGATGAATTCGAAAGGTTCCTAAAACTTTAGGGACTTGATTGTGATTTTATAAAGGTGATGGTATTATTTTGAACAAGAGATTTCAATGCTGGAAAATATTATTATCATGCTGGTTTTTTAGTTTAATTAATGAGCTTGAATCAAATTATGAGTTTATGAAGTTTGGTGATTGAAATTGAAAGTTTAGGAAAGTTTAGGTTGAAATTGCAATATTTTAAATGTTAAAGGATTGAATTGGATATTTTATTAAGGTGCTGAAAATTTTATGTGATTAATGTGTAGTGATCATAATGGTGAATGATCATTATGGATTAAATAGGAAAATTGATATGAATTCTAAAAAGAATTCATAATTAATTGTTGGATTATGAAATTAGTAAAAGTTGGAGAGTTGATGCTAAAACTAAATATTCATGGAATTTAAGGAATGTTTTGAGAAATTTGAATTATGATGGAAGTACGATTTAATTTTATATTGATTTTATTTTTATCGAATTTTATATTTAAGTTTAAATTATGTTAGTTCGATGCTAACATAAAGCTTGAATATTTTATGATGTTGTCAGACTACGGTAAATTTAGTGATCCAAGTAACTCAAAAGAGAAGGAAAATGTGAAATTAGAAGATTATCGCGGAGAAGATTCGATAATGAGGCAAAGGTGCGTGCATTTCATTTGTATATATGTTTCTACAAAACATCGGTTTGCGATGAGTCAGTGTCGGAGTTACATTAAGAAGTGACTCATAGTGTTATGTGAAGTGTGATTCAAGTTTATATGTTTATTTAGTAAGCTAATAAAACTAGTTAACAAGTCAATGACAGTAGTTGGTAAAATCTGCCTAGAAATTATGTTTTGAATAGTAAATTTAGAAAATCATAATAAATTATAAAAAATGATTAGATGATGAATTTTATATCATTTGATTCGTCTATCAGTCTAGTTTTGTTTATAACAAAAGAAAACTGATTTCGAGGATTATAAAAAAATATATAAATTTTTAATCAGTGATAATTCAAAAAACAGGACAACAAATTATGTCCAAAACAATTTTTGTCATTTAACTTTGAAAATTCAGTATAAATTGTACAAATGAAACTAGACGAAGTTCCTTATATGGTTAGATTCGTTTTCAAGTCTAATTTCCATTGATACAAACGGAATAATTTTTCAATATATATATATATATATATATATATATATATATAATACATAATAAAATTTATTTGAAGGTAATACAAACTGTCAGAATATGAAATTTCAATAAATTGTGTAGTGGAAGTAATTTTTAAAACTTAGTGTTATAATATGGAGTGGAAAAATAATCAAAGTGATATCTAACGTAAAATAAAACATGCACAGGAAAGAGATTTGCCTGCAACTCAGGTTATTCATCAGAAACCAAAAACGACCTTGGATGAAATAACTAAAGAGCTTTGCCCGGTACATACCTTAATTTCTCTTCCAGATTCCTCACAATAATTTTCCCTTAATTAAATCTTCAACTTTCTTTCTCGTGTTGCTGTTTCTTCAGGTACTAAGCATACAACAATTGTACCGAATCAGCACAATGTATTGGGACGACAAATATGGAACAAATAGTGTGTCATCAGATGTAAGTTCAAACTTTCGAAATGCGTAACGTTAAACATATACGGCCACTGAAATATGAAACCTGCAAAATTTATCGACGATCTCTTCGTCATTCAGGTCATCGCAAAAATGAGAGTTATGATGACCGAGGACTCCAACAATGCCGTTAGTAGTTCATTCCTACTAGACGACGACTCAAGGTAGTTCATACCTCCTTTTCGCTTCGTGTGTAGACGAGTATTTAAACCCCCATACATGCTTTATGATTTATACATGCACAATTCATATGTCGATGCAGCATACCGTTTACGGTGGACTACATCTCCAAGTCCCTGCAACAAGTTGACATAGCCGATGTCGAACCTCCATCGTTGATTCGAGGAAACTCCGGGTTCGGTTTCTTACTTCCACGTTCAGATTGATCACTGTACTCATTTGTGCATATAACAACACCATACTATTTATTTATTTTTCCTGGTTTTCATTCTTTTCCCCATGTTCCAAAGACATGCGGGTATTTCTTGAGAAGCCATTATCACCATTTTTGTGATGATGTGCAAGAGAGAAATAGGTTGGTTTTCTGCCCAAAAAGGCTATTTTGGTCTTTCCATTTTTTATTTTTTATTTTAAATTGGGGCCAAGGGGCTCCTTTGGTTTTCTTTATTGGGGTTTGCTTGGCGATATATTTTTAATTTTTTATTATTTATGTGTGTAATTAACTACAATAGTTGATTTTATAGGTTGTGATTTGTTGTTTGAGTTAATGGTGTAAATTCAAAATATATTTTTACCACTGAATGAACGATTGAGAACAAAAGTGATATATTTGGACACGGACGGATCGGTTTTTTTTATCAGTTGTCACCTTGACACAAAAATTGAAGGTTTTTATTCGATATTTCAAATCTTTACAGTAGAATATTAAAAAAATCATGAAGTGAAGTTAATAATATATTTGTTAAATAACTACGCTTAATCTTGTCAAAAAAAAATACGCTCAATTAGGGGTGTTCAAATAACTGAATTAATTCGGTTAACCGATCGAACCGAATTAGTTCAGTTAATTCGGTTTGGTTATCGAATTAGTTCGGTCGGTTAACGGTTAAGAAAATTTTTAGAATTCGGTTAACGGTTAATTCGGTTCGAATTCGGTTAATTAACTGAATTAACCGAATTAACCGAAATTAAATTTTAAATTTTAAATATATTATATATAACATATGGGTTCAGCCCAAACCATTTAAAACTTAATTAATAATTTAAGATATAATAACTTTTAAACCTAAATCAATATTAATTAATTAAAAAAATTATATAAAAATTTTATTTTATAATTATATATTATTTAAATTAATTGTAAACTATTTTTTTAATTAAAAAATATTATATATATTATATATAACATATGGCTAAGCCCAAACCATTTAAAACCCAATTAATAATTTAAGATCCAATAACTTTTAAACCTAAATCAATATTAATTAATTAAAAAATTTATCTAAAATTTTTATTTTATAATTATATATTATTTAAATTAATTATAAACTTTTTTTAATTAAAAAACATTTAATTTTTATATAAATTAGAAAAATTTAAAAAAAATCGGTTAATTCAAAAAGTAACCGAAATTTATTCGGTTCGGTTAATATATTTGAAAAAAAGTTCGATTCGGTTAACGGTTAAAGAAAAAAAAAGTTTGGTTAATTCGGTTCGGTTCGGTTCGATTTTAACCGAATGAACAACCCTAAGCTCAATAAGTTTAAAATAATTAAAATGAAATTCAAGAAGTGAAGTTAATAACAAATTTAGATATTTAAATTTGAATATCTTATCCCAAAATATTAGTTAATCTGAATAATAGATATATGATATAACTCATGAACTTAAATATATATATATATATATATATATATAGATAAATTGAATAAATAAATCTAATCCATGAATTTTGAATCGAGCTCGAGATTATTCGATTTAAGCTCGGCCCAGTTATGGTATCATAAACTAGTTATTCTATCAAGATGATATCGTTGTTATTTTTAGTTTGTGACATTTAGTTACATTTTGATTGATCTTTTAATTGATTATGTTTATTCAAATTCAACAAATTTCGATTACATTTGATTTTATAAGATCAAATTTAATAAAGGATGAGATCGAATCAAATTTTGAGTATAAAATGAAAAATTCTCGGTGCGAGATCTTTTATAAAAATGATAAAAATAAGCACTAAATCTTAAATTTTTAACATAGTAGAGAGGACTAAAAGCAAATTGTACGAAAAGGAAGATAAATCACTAAATCATATAAAAACTATGTTTGAATTAAGTTGAATTTTCTTCTATGATCAATTATATTTAATAATTCACTTTTAAAATTTATAGGATTAAATTATTAATTCTTAAGAAAACTAATTTAAATAATGTTTGAAACTGAGAGGACCTAAAAGGTATTTTCACTATTCATCGTTCTAAATTCCCATTCCTTAACCTTAACCACTACAACGATACCGCGTTTCCCCGCGTAAAAGACCCAAAACAAAAGTCGGTATTTGCTTCGCTGCACGGCGATAAAGCCAGCTTGAAGAAGCAATCTACTTCCCCAAATCCAACCATAAAACCTCGTGTTTTACATCAGATCATTGAAACACCTGCCGATTCATTTTCAGGCAGCTTTTTTCCCGTAGCATCGATCAAACATGAGCTTCCTCTTTGGCAAGAGAAAAACTCCCGCAGGTATCCCTTTTTGCTTCTTCTTTTTTAATTTAGTCAATGGAAAAAAAGGTTCTACGATTCTCGTTTAGATCGTTAAGGTTTTGGATGTGTAAAGTGATCCCAGATAAGGATTTCGGTAGTTGGAATTGGATGATATACGTGATTCAACTAGCAGTTTAATTGTAGAAACTTTAAAGTATTTGCGCTATTTGTTTATTTGGTTTTGTTTTGGATAACAAAAGCGATCATATGCAGGGTTCTTTGTTCATTTTTGTTTCAATTTTCAATGTTTTTTTTCTTCAAATTATTGAATGATAATGTGTAAATTCCATGTTGTATTTTCTGGAAAGATGCAAGCTAAAAGTATAGGTGAGTCTCATGCATTTTGTGGTGTATTACAAATTATTGAATGGTTCAATGATCGTTTCTTCATATATGTTTCAATTTTTTATTAATGTCGAAAAAACAGTCTATGAATTTCATTTTGATCGTTCGGTTTGGATTTTGTAAAGTGATTCTTGATAAGGGTTCTAGTAATTGGATAATACTTTAATAAAATAGGAGTTGGTTGTGTTCTGCTGACCATTATATGCGGAGATTGACTAATTTTTTCTCTAGAATTCTATTATAATTCAAAATGTTGATATGTAATGCAAGCAAAAAGAAGAGTTGGGTCATGCATTTATGGTGTATTACAAATTGTTGAATGGTTGTCGGTTCAGATTTGTTTCACATTCTTATTAAATTTCAGATACAGATTCTATTAAATGGATAATATACATGGTTAAATTAAAAGTTGGTTGTATTTTGCTGATGATTATTTGTGGAGATCGGCTATTTCTTTTAATTATATTACAAATTTTAATATGTAACGCTGTATGTTAATTTTAGAAATGATTGTGAATTATGGTACCAAAGGCAAAGTATTTTGTGCTATTTGTTATTGCTTTAGTTTTAGATAATCAGATCAATCGTTTGCATGGATGTTTTGTTTGTTCATTTGTTTCAAATTTCAATGGGGTTCTACAGATTATTGAACTATAATGTGTAAATTCTGTGTTCTTCTTTCTCAAAAGATGCTAGCTAAAAGAATAGGTACTTCATGCATTGTATAGAGTGGCCCTTGATGTTTTCTGTAGTTTCCGTGTCTTGGACTGCAGATAAAATTTTGTAGTTGATTTCATATTGAGATGTCGGATAATATCATGGTTTTTGGTTTCAGAGCTTCTACGGGAAAATAAGAGGATGATTGACAAATCTATCAGAGAGATAGAGAGGGAGAGGCAAGGTCTTCAGAACCAAGAGAAGAAACTGATTGCAGAGATAAAGAAAAGTGCAAAGCAAGGGCAGATGGTATTTTTTTTACATCGAATACTGTTACTTTTTTTGCCAAGTTTTTGTGTATGTGTTATTATATTCTGTTTTCCAGTAGAATTTATAGGTGATTTTGAGAAAAAATTTCTTTTGAGGCAATTTTGAGAAAAAAAAATATTTCTGGTTTTTGGTATACATGAGTTTGCTTTGTTGGTGATTTAATATGTTAACCTGACTTGACCAGTGCTTGATGATTCTGTTTTATGTGTTCATAGTGTTTTGAAGGATTAGCTTGATTTATTTTCCAACCACTTTCACAGAGACATCTTACCATTTCTATGAAAAAGTTGAAGTACTTTGTTCTTCCCCATTTTTTTAGTATGTGTTGAGTTTGCTATCCTTTTTATCACTTTTCTACTTGATCGTGTGTGTGTATATGTTAATTGATATTAGTCGAGTGATGCGGTTATATAGTTTCTCATCGTGCAATATTGTATTTTCCATCTGTCTTATTGGGAAACTAGGTTTCTTATAACTTCTAAACATTTCAATATCATACATGATCTATGCTTTTCTTGTTCAACATGAATTGGCTTTCGTACCCACCTAGTCTGTATCCTCTAAATGGATTTACTGATGGAAACTTATTTCAGGGAGCTGTGAAGGTGATGGCGAAAGACCTTATCCGAACACGACATCAGATTGAAAAGTTCTATAAGCTTAAATCACAGCTCCAAGGAGTATCTCTTCGAATTCAAGTATGTTCTTTTGTCTATACATTTTATCTCCAGTTATCAATTTCCCCCCCACCAAAATGTGTACATTGAAATTTGAAAGTTATGGTCTCTTGTCATGCTTGTTAAGTACATGAAAGTCACTAACCATAACAATTGAGGAGATATTATAGGAAGTTTTGAAATATGGCCTGCTCTACACGTAGTAATAAATCTGACTATTTTGTTTGACAAAATGTAAAACGAAGTTAGGGTTAAAGATCAATATAGCTCTATTCTCATCATATAACGTTGTTTACTTGGGGGGTTGCCAAATATGATGAAGAGAAACACTTTTGCTGCTGGTTGTCTGTGGCAGAGGATAAAATTATTTCTGAGTTGGCTGACGTTTATGTATCTGAAGTCATTCGTGATCTTAGATGTTATTGTGTATGTAAAGTTTCAAGCTTGACTAATTTTCTATACTACTTCAGACATTGAAATCGACACAAGCGATGGGAGAAGCAATGAAAGGTGTGACAAAGGCAATGGGCCAGATGAACAGACAGATGAACTTGCCATCGCTGCAGAAAATCATGCAAGAATTTGAGATGCAGAACGAGAAGATGGAGATGGTTAGTGAGGTAATGGGTGATGCGATTGATGATGCTTTGGAAGGGGATGAGGAAGAAG